GGCGCGGCGAGGGAGGCAGGCTGCTCAGGGGCGGGAAGGGGGGATCTGATCTCAGGAGGACGAACCAAGAAGGGAACGAATATTGAACCCTGGTCTCACACCTCCTGGGGCTGGAGGCCGGAGAGTCATTAACCATGGGAACAATTTCCCGGGGCTTGGGGGGGCTCCATTGCTGGCCACTGGGAATTATTCAGGGAAGCCCCGCGGCCGGTGTTCTCCGCAGGGCAGCCACGCGGAGAGCGGGGCTCCGTTCAGGCCACAGAAGCGATAAATCCGTGGCCCTGCCCCGTCGGGGAGCCGCGGGGCCTTGTCCCTCGGAGGGAGCTGGCGGGGGGGGGCAGCCGCTCGGAGCTGAGCTGAGCTCTGCTGGCAGCGAGTTTCAAACCCAGCTGGGCAGCGGGAGCGTGTTTACCCAGGGCAGGCGGAGGAGGCAGCCGGGTGCGAGGCCCAGATGGCGCGGACGACGCTAAGCAGAGAGCAGCTCCTGCACCCCATGGGGAGGCAGCCTGGCTTTCCCACCTGCCCCGGCTCCCCCGGCTCCCGTTCCCTGCTGGCCCTGACTCCGGCGCTCCGCGGCGGCGCCGCCCTCTCTCCCCGGGCATGAATCCATTTGTATGTCCCCTCTATGGTGGTAGGTTTATCCCCCATGAACAGGGGACCAGTATTGCTTATCGTTATTGTTCTCGAGCCCCGCGAGGGACTTTCAGCCGAGACGAGTGTGACGTAGTGGGGGTACCTGGCTGGTTTCTACGCTGCTGGCTCTGGGGTAACCCCCACTGGCTGCAGTTGGTACCGCGGCCCAGAAGGACAGGCCATGAGTCATTATGCAAAGGTGGTCTCAACCTGTCTGACCAGTCACCCCCCATGGAGAGGAACAAAGGAAGGTGGAATGTGGCCCTGGCTGGGGGCAGGACTGGAAGAGGGGAGTTGGTTCCTGGCTATTGGGGTAACAACTGCCACCACTGAAGTGATTCCAAGAAAAGCAGGGAAGGGATCATTTGGGAATCCCCTCCCTAAGGTAAAGCTCTCCCCCTGCCCCAATCTCCGTTTTGCTTGGAGTTGGGAAAAACAGAGGGATTTCACAGACAACCATGGACTCTGCCCTTGTAACTAGGCACTTAGAGTTTTCTTTTTCTTTTAATTAACCAGTATTGGCCGATTGTTGTGTCAGAACTTTTATTATCAAACTGAGGGGCCAGGAAGGGAACCCCACGGCGCGTTACGGGATGGGCCCTGGGCGGCGAGGGCCAGGGCTCTGAGGTGGCGCCGAGCTGTCTGCATCTCTGGGGTGGGGAAGGAGTTTCCCCCAGGTCGGACTGGCAGTGACCTGGGGGCAGCTCCTTCTGCAGCACGGGGTGCAGGTTGCTCAGATGGCAGGGGCAGGCCAGGCGGGGCCAGGCTCTGCCCTCCCCAACTGCCAGCCTGGCCCTGCCCGCTGCCCGCCCCCAGAACGCTCTGGGCCGCACGGACTGCAGGACGTGCCCAGGGGCAGGGGGCCGCCCGCGATGTCTGTGGGCAGGGGCTGTGCCTGCTGCTCCCTGGTCTGAGGGAACCGCCCCGGAGGGCAGGTCTCTTACCCACGATCATGCCAACCTCGCAGCGGTGATCCTCGTAGTAACAGGAAATCATCGTCGCGACCGTGTCGTTCACCATGGCGACCACGTCCATCTCGAAATCCTGCGGAGGAGCGCGCAGGAGACGTTACGATTCCCCCGGCTGCCAGGGAGGCGCACTCCCCCCCCCCCCCCCCCGCCCCGCCCCCGCCCCGCCAGCCAGGGCTGCGTGGAGGCCTTTGGCACCCATCCGGATGGGATAGAGCGAGGATCTTGCCAGCCCGGCTCCCGGGCAGGAGCGGGAGCAGCCCAGCCCGCCCCCG